TTAATGAAATTTGTAAAAACCAATTGGAATTTCAGAATAAGCTTTTCGAAATTCAGCATAAGCTTCGCGATAAGACATAAGCCTGTATCGTTTTTGAACATAGGTTTTTTCAGTTCTTGAATCTTCCCCTTTAGTCCGAATAATTTTTCTTTCTTTGTCAAGTAATTTCTAAAGAAAGATAAAATTCCTGAACAGACTTTAAAACTTCACTAAATACTGCAGATTTGTTAACCTTATTTTGAATATCATTACTATTATTCACAATCACTATTCCATTATCTTTCGCCAAAGATTTAATAACACTTTGTCTCTTCATAAAGCTAGTTGGAAGATTTCTTTTGGCTCTTTGAATTGCTTTTCCCAATGTTTGAACACAATTGTATCCTATTTATTCATTCAATTAAAAATTAATATATTACAAATACATTACATAATATGGGTGATTCTACAAAAGAGGGAATTTTGATGTCTGAAGCATGTTTTGTATATTAATTTTGGAAAGAATAATTTTACTTTTAATGGAAATTGTAAATCTTAATGGTTTCTTTTATGGCACAAAAAAAAACCGATGAAAAAAATATTTTTTTGCAAAAAATACACATTATAGTGCTAAATTCTCATTCGTCTGGCATGTCCCTTTGGGAGAATGACAGTTCATATTGAGAATAAATATCACTTTTCAAATGTTTTGCGGAAATTTCATACTGAATTAGTAATTTTGAATAGTTGTAGATTACTAATATGAAAATAATTATGACGTTTCTCTATATCTTATTTATAAAATATCTTCGGGAAGTTTGTCCCCTGAATTTTTTATCATTCGTCTGGCAGTGCAAAAAATGTAAAAATTATTAAAAATCAACATTCTGATGAAGTGACTGTTCGTTGTAGTTGTTAATCAAACTAAACTAAATGTGATACCAATCGGGTTTTATTGAATCTTCTAATCTATTAACCAAGATTTCTCAATTTGTGACGGAGATTGTGTTGTGACCAGACAAATTCTCATTCGTCTGGCATACATTTTTTAAAAAAATATTTTATTTTTTGGTTATTCTATAGACTTATATGTTTTGTAGATTATTATTCTCTATAAGATAGTACTGAAGGATTTTTTCATTTAATGTTATTTTTATATTTTTTAAACAAAAAATGCCAAATTCTCATTCGTCTGGTTCTCATTCGTCTGGCACTTTTGAGATAGGATGTATACTATATCACTAAAAATAGCGTAAAACTAACAATTTTCAACTATTGTTCGATTTTCTGGTCTTAAAATAATCCTAATTAAATTTGCAAGAAATTGCTATAACTGAATTTTCCATTTTCATTTCGCATAAATAATTATATTGACATAAACAAACAAATGGAATAAGTATTTTTTTATATGAATAAAGTTTAGCCCACTATCAAAGTAGTTCTTTATTATTAGACACTTGAACTTACTTTTACAATTCTATGATTTGTGAAATTGTGCTTATAGAAACAAATAGACCATCCGTAATTTGTTATAAACAATTATTAATTAAATTACAACCAAAATTAATTAAACCGATGACTTTCATTGATCCTCGTAAAAATCGTTACATAGGGGTTTTCGGGGTTGCTGATTAAGAACCTAATGTCAGTTTTTAAAATTTTTCAATTCAAAATGGCGGATCCAATATGGCCGACGATTTTGGAAAAACTTAACATACTCGTCTGAAAATCGTTACTCGGTGATTTTCTGTTTCGCTTATTACCAATCCGAGGTGAACTTTTTTCAAATTAACCATTGTTTTTACAATTTGTTTAAACAATTTAATTATGTTTTTTAGTTCTACTACTATATTTATAGTTCATACATGTATAAAAATAAATAAATAAATTTTAAATAATTTTTAATAATCATAATTAATTAATTAATTACAATTTATTATTATTATTATTAATTATTAATTACTTAAATAAATTAAATAAAAATAAATTAATAAATTATTAAAAAGTAAATGCAAAATTAAACTCAACGTTAAAAACTAGAGGTGTACTCAAAGTATTTAGTATTCGATTTTTTCGGGTACTCGATTTCTTTTCAGTCCTCGGAAATTTCCGTATGCATCAAGTATTCCGTATTTTAAATAATCTTGAACTATCTGATTCAAAAGTTGCGAAAATGGTGGTAACTTGTAAATTGTTAGTTCTAACTTTTCCTCTAGGTTAATAACTTATTTAACGTTTAAATATATTTTACAAAATCAAATTTAATAAAAATCGAACAATTTTTTTAAAATTCATTTAATTAGATTCTTAATCAGCGACCTCAAAAACCCCCGGGTAACGATTTTTAGACGAATACGATCAGTTTTTTCAAAAGTCGTCCGACATATTGGATCCGCCATTTTGAATTTTGAAAAACTGACATTGGATTCTTAATCAGCAACCCCGTAAACCCCCGAGTAACCAATTTTATAAAAATCCATTCATTAATTTTTATGTTAATGTGAATTTTCTTGACACGATTTTAATTCTCTGGATAAATTGTTTATAAATAACCATAACTTTTGTAAAATTTAATATTTTGTCTGGCCACTTATGGATGTCTTTATTAGTACCATTAACTTGAAGTTAAAATACTTTTCAGACCTTAAATGAGAAAAAAATGTTGTGTCCGAATTTTCTTGATTTTCGTCCTTCGTTTGTAGAATCACCCATATATACAATTAATTTTATTTTTATACCTTGCATATCTTTCTCAGTTCTACTTTTAACGGCTTTTATTGCTCTTCTAGCTTTGCGTTTTCTTTCAGCATCGTTTAATTTAAAGTTCTTGTAAGCTTTTGCATCATTTTATAAATTTTTTCTTTGCAATCTCATTCTATTTTTTTTTATCTTCTTCATGAAAACCGTTTTCTTTTCTACGTTGCCTATATGCAGCTGTCCTTCGGGCTCCAAAAAGAGGGGAAGACTTTTTGGGTGTCATTGTACTTTTACACATTCACAAAAATTGTGATTGAAATTTTTTTTATTTATTAACCTTACTTATTAAAAAACAATTGATATTATTAACCTGTATTTTATGCTAACCTAATAATTTAAATTTTTTTGTCCGTGAAATATAGTTTTCAAGTAACTCTCTTAGTGCAAGATGAATTTACACTTGTACTCATAACGTATAAAAATGGCTCAAAATATAGTTTTTAAATTATTTTATTTAATAATAATTTTTGAATCATAAAATAAGATGTATTTTCTTCAGTGGAATTCATTTATCTACCTTTTTTAACCAAATTAAAATTTTTAACTTTATGTCCGTGTTTTCATGGAAATGCCCTGATAATTCATTAGCTTTTTCGTATCAGTCACTAAAAGTAGGCTTCTTAACATTTGTAATTCTACTCGATTTCCCAAAGCACATTCAGGTAACTCCTGAAAATTATTGCTATTTTTCCCACAATAAATATCGCAGTCAAATAAGTAACCGTCAGCGCCGCATAAAGCCCACATTTTTATGCCGAATCTAGTTGGTTTATTTCGAATATACTGCTTTATTTTAAAACGTCCGTAAAATTTCACCATCATTTCATCTACTGAAAGTGCAGTTTCAAAAAAACCAAAACATTTTATATTCTTTTTTAACATCTCTAAAATCTCTCGAACATGCCAAGCTGCATCCTTTGAATTTTTATCCTTGATTTTAGAGCATTTTAAATTTCTTTTTATTTCCAAAAATCGATCACGATGCATAACCGTTCTAACAATTGGATTTAAATTTTTACTGAAACGTTACTCAAATTAAAATTAAATAACTCTTTTCAATATTTAAACAACAAATTTTACTCGAGTCAGATTGGTGCCTATAAATTTCGTTTTGGAAACTAAAATTTCAATGTTTTAAGGTTTTTGGTCTATTTGGAGAAAAATAGCACTATATATTTTTCTTGAACTTTATCACTTGAAATTAAAATGTCAACTTTTTATTTAAGTGTAGTATATAATTTAAGTGACATTATTTCAAAGCTGATTCGATTACGTGGTTTTTATCATCGAAATCAGTACAAAAGTAAGAAGTATCACTTTTTTAATTATTTTGTTGTAGATTAAAATTATTGTAAACATACTACATTTATTTGTAAATATTTATTACAAAAAATATTTAAAATATGTGCGCACCTTAACTAAAATAGAAAAGTTTTTAAAAATGTACGATTTACTGACCCAAAGCTGATTAGAGACATTATTCAATAAATTACTGAATTATCAAAACTTAAAATTACAATAAAAATTAAATGGCTACTAATTTTTCAAAACCCTTTAGAAGTTTTACTCTGCTGGGGTAGTACTTTCATCCTATTATAGTCAAGTCTTAACCAAAAAAAAATTTTTTTACCACGCAGGCATGAATTTTGCTACTTTTTATGCATGCGAGGCGAGGCAGAAAGCGGTGTTTTCTGATTGGTCTACAGTAGCGGGAGTAAATGCTCCCTAGGGAGCAAATACAGTGGCGGACAGGCGAAACGAAAAAATAAGTGTTTTCTTTGCCGACCGACGAGCGATTTGGAGAGATAATTCATTTCTTTAACGTTGCGACTACAGCGCTTTGCGTACAAAGATTTGTTGTAGTATAAAGGTTATGTAGACTCTTCGTTGGTGGAAAAATTATTGTCAGTGTTAAACAGTGATTTATAAATAAATATCTATAAATAGTTAAAAATGAGCAGCGAAAGTAGTGATGAAGAACTTTCACTTACACCTCCAGAATTGCAAGCGGCTGCGAATGGTATTGTCAGTAATCTGTTGCCTACAAAATCTAAACCTTTATATGACGCAGCGTACCAATCATTTAAAGACTGGAAAATTAAACACAAGGCGAAACCGTCATCAGAAAATGTCTTGTTAACTTATTTTTATGAGCTTTCAAAAAAGTATAAACCAACTACAGTATGGGCACAATATTCGATGTTAAAAAAAGAAATGAGTATTTATGAAAAAGTGGACATCAGCAAATTCTTGCAATTAGATGCTTTTATAAGAAAAATATAAGTCGATTACACGCCAAAAAAGTCAAAAGCTCTCAACGCAAATGAAGTGCAAAAATTTTTGATCGAAGCTCCAGATGAGCAGTATTTAGCTGTAAAGGTAATTTTACATTATTTAAAAAATTTAAAAACTATTTACAGATTATTTACAAAAAAATAATATTTACAAAATATATACAAATATTTCTAATTACTCAGAAAACGATTTTTTCAATTTTTATTTATTTATAAAATATTTGGTTACTTTAAATAATAATTCTAAATAATCCAAACTTTACCTTGTAATAATTTTTCAATAATTCCATTGGTATATTAATAATTATTACTATTAATTAATAAAACAAAATTATCTAAGTAACAAGTTTTTATTATTTATGTAGGATGTTTAAATATTGGGAGTTTCTGGTGCTCTGCGTTCTGAAGAATTTATCAATATTTCTAATAATGATATTGAAAATCGAGGAGGATTACTTTTAATCAAAATTAATAAGACGAAAACACACACTACTCGTTCTTTTACAATACCGGAAGAATTTAACGAAACTTTTGAAAAATATCGAAAATTACGCCCGCCAAATGCACCCGAGAGATTTCTTCTAAACTATCAAAACGGCAAATGCACGAAACAAGTCATCGGAAAAAATAAAATTGGCTAAATGGTAAAACAAATTGCAACATTCTTGCAATTGCCTAACGTTCATCTTTATACCGGACACTGTTTCCGTAGAACCTCAGCAACTTTGTTAGCTGCATCAGGAGCGAGTGCAACAGATCTCCAACAACATGGTGGCTGTAAATCAATTCAAGTTGCGACCGGTAACATTAATTAATTAATAAATAAATTTATTTGTTCACTATAAAAAAATTAAATGTTAAACCAAAATAAATCTATAAAATAATTTCAGGTTACATTGAAGATTCAATCCATACGAAATCAAAGAGAGGATCCCTCATTTCAAAGTCTATAAATCTACCCTCAACAAGTAAAGATTCAAATGAAATTTTAAATTCTGAGGTGCCAATGAAAAAAGCAAAAATCGATGAAAATCCGACAAACGCAACAAACTCAATTAAACAAATTGAACCTGAATTAGTATCTGATGTTCTGAATAAATCCTTTTTACTACAGAATTGCAATGTTACCATAAATATTTATCAAAAGTAACAAGTGTTGTAACGTTTTTAGTACTTTAATCTTTAAAAAGATATTTTTCTATAAAATGTTGTAAATATATATGTTTTTTTCACAATTGCAGTATTACTAGGGGAGAGGGCCCCAAGATGGACATTTCCTATAAAATTTTTGTTTAAAGTGACAGCATCTTCTCAATTTTTTTATTTTTGTTGTTTGTATAGACGAAGATTTTTATGCATATTTGAAAAATAAAACCAGTTTTTTTTCTACTGCGCATATCACCTGAATTTTTTGTCAAAAAAAGTTTTATTTCCGATTTTTCTTAAGTCGATAAAGTTATTTAAATTTTTGATTTTAGATAGGTATTTATCGTTATAATATTATTTATTTATCATATAATAATATTCTAAAATGATTTTTTTAATATTTTGTTTGTATACAATTTTTTTCTGGGTTTCAAAAAATGGTGTCATATACCCTAAGATGGACACCACATTTCAATGTACTTATTTTCATGCTTTCGATTACACATTTTTTAAATAATTTTGTAAGCCTCGTAATTGAGATTTTTTATTTTTACCGCCATGGAATGTAGAGCTATCGATAGAGAATTCGATATATCTTAACTTGTCAAATTAAAGTTAAATATGTTATTTTTTTTTATTCTCAAGTTATTAAATTAAGATTTTTAATAATGTTATTCCTAGTAAATAGAATAAAATGATTAAACATTAGTTTAAAAATTAATACAGGATGTTTATCTTTAATTTACCACACTTTAAAGTGATTTTTAAGAAGGTGTCCATCTTGGAGCCACTTTTTTTTGGTCAAAAATTTTAACAATTAGAAAAAATGCTATAAAAAATGTTTAAGTTCAAAATAAAATTTTATCTCAGTGGCCATAAGTTACCTAATAAATTGTACTTTCATTTAGTATAAAACATTTTAACATATCTTATTCGGTTTGGATTTTAGAGCCATCAATCGAAGAGGTGTCCATCTTGGGGCCCTCTCTCCTATAAATATTAGTTAAAAGTAACAAGTGTATTAATGACTCTTGTTTAAACAATATTTTTACAAAAAAGTCAAAATATTGTATAATGCGTTTAAAGAAAAACAAAATATTATTTATTGTATTAAAAAAAATCAAAATATTATATAATGTGTTTAAAAAAATATTATTTAATGTGCTCCAAAAAGAATCAAAATATTATATAATGTGTTATAAGAAAATAAAATTTTCTTTACATTTTTGAATTAAAATACAAATATGTAAAAACTTAATCTTTTGAAATTTTTCTTCTTGTGCCCCCCCTGGCACCACCCCCCTCAACTCTCCTTTATCCTTATTCTATGCAGCTTTTTTAAACATTCTGAACATTTTTATTCTTCTTATTAGGTTTTTTGTGATGGGGGGCTTCGCCCCCAACACCCCGACCGGGGCGCTGCCCCTGGACCCGTCGGGGGAGACTCCCCCCCCCCCCCCCCGCGCGACCGAACAGGGGCCTACATTTGAATGTATATGGGCGAATCCACGGAACCGTGCGATTTCATGTTACTCCTCATTTAAACAATTTTTTTTAACATTATATAATTTTTGTTAATGTCAATGTCTCTTGGATAACATATATAACAGAATAATCAAATAAAACCATAATTTTTATAATCTTTATGTGAAATAAAAAGTCATATGTGTACTTAAAAAATTAAATTTGATTTGTTACTTTGGGCTTCTCTTCGATTTAAACGTGGATAACTTTTTCAGCGTAAATCAAAATCGTCCAAAAAAAGTTGTAAATAATTCTTCTAATATTCTAAAATCTATTGCATATCGAAAGAAATATGTGCTCCTTTATTAAAACTAAATGGCAGCAATTCAAACAATCTTACTTCCATTTTTCAGTAACAGGAAGTCCAAGGTTTTTTTCATTTTGTGCTTTCAGCGGAAATGAAATTATAATTTTTTTTGAATGAGCTTATTCCTTATGAAAAAATGAATAATTTGAGACCTTACTTAACCGTGTGCCATTAAAAATAAAGATAATAAAACAATAATTATGTCTACACCTTCAAACGTGAATGATTCTAAATTTATACTTTTTTTAATGGCACACTTACAGCTTAAAAAATAATCGGTTGAAACTTTGTGTGAACGGTGGATATTATTATAAATTTTCATAATTCTAAATGCTAAATATGTATTCCAATTAAATAATTTAAAAAATATTAAATATAAAAATGTTGTGAAATTTTTATCTTGAAAAGACTCGATCTCATAAGTGTGAATATATCAGTTTTCATTTGTTGGAAGGTCGATATGTTTGTTTATATTCAGAAATGTCAATTTCTAAAAATACAGGTTAGAAAATATTTTTCACAATGGGTAAGCAAATTATAAATAAAATAAAAAATTAAACTAAAATAAGTAAATTACAATTGCAATTCGTAATTAAATAATATTAAGATTTTAAAAATTAACTGAATATTTGTAATAATATTATTAATTTCATGTAAAAATAAATATAAAATATAACCTATTAATAAATCAAATATAGATGAAACACTAAAAGCAAAGAGAGAAGAAAAATTATTATTAAAAAGAGATCAACAAAGAAAAAAGCGTAAAGAAGCTGCTGACGAACGAGCTAAAGAATTACTTCGTAAGAAAAAATACAACGATGAAAAGCGTAATGAAAAAGAAAAAAATGAATTGATGTTAAAAATGTAAGCTTATTTTATTATTACATTATTATTCATGGTTGCCACACAACCTGGAAAACCTGGAAATAGCATGGAATTTAAACAAATTTCTGGAATTTTTTTTTGGTAATGAAAGATATTAAGAAAAATTCCATTCAACATGTTATTTTTCTTTAAAAATGTTAACATACAATTTTCCTTTTCCATGTTATCTTCTCTTTAAATTAATTTAATTTTTCTTTTTAATTATTGACTAAAACTGAAAAATGTTGTTAAGATTGTTCTAAAAGAAGGAATTTATATCTTTATTAGTATTACTATTGTCAAAATTTTTTGTTACTAGTTGTTTTTTGTTCAAGATTTTGAACAAAGTTTAAAGATAAAAATGATTTGATTTAGACATGACTTGAATGTTCTAATTATGACTAATTCTTCTGAAAGTGACATTTTTGATGTCTCGATTAATTTTATGAAATCTACTCTCTAATATTATTAACCATTTTCATAGTAAAAATTTATCACTTACTTATCATTAAAAAAAATTAAACAATTTTATTCAACTGAATTTGCAATAACTAAAATAATTTCATCTCCAAATTCTTTTTAATATTTCTCCAATAGGACTTCTATAAGAAAACTAAGTTTTTATGTTTTTTTTCAAATTCTTAGAAATTTTTTAAAAATAGTGCCAGAAAGTATAAAAATTTTTCTATCATTATGTGCATTTTAAACATTTTTGGACCTCCGTTTTATATGTGATAAAAATGTTTAAATTTTGTCTTCAATTTAAGTTAAAATTACATCATGATGATTAATAATGTTTTTATACATTAAAAATATTCTTATAAAAATTTTAATGCACATTAAAATAAAGTTTAAGATCTGATGTTTAATTTTTCCATATAATTATATTATTTATAAAAAAGGAGGAATATTATTGCTTTTATAAATATATTCAAATTTTACATATCGGCCCGAGTAAAATTCAAAGAAGAAAGATTTTAAAATTTTCAAATTAATTTTGCGCAACTTAAATTCTTACTCTTGAATATGAAATAAAGTAGTTTCAATAGAAAAAACCAAATAATTTAAAAAAAATAAATTGAAAAATATTGTTAACACTGTTTTGTAAAATACTTGTTTTTTCATCACAAATATTTCCTAAATTTTAACCTGGAATTTTTAATATTTTTGACCTGGAAAACCTGGAAAAAGCCTGGAATTTTGAAATCTAGATTTTGTGGCAACCATGTTATTATCTAAATTAAAAACTCTTAGAATTAAAATTAAGAATAATATTTATTTTAGCAATCAAACAGAGGCAATTCCCGTAACTGATGATTTTCGTTCACTTGCATCTTCAGAAAGTAATCAAAGCAATAATGAACCTTCTCTTCCTATGTTTGTTGATAACGTAGCAGTAAATGATTCGACAAATTTTAATAATTTATCTGCTAATAATGTAGAATCTCATTATACGCCGGATTTGAAAAATAAAAACATCGACAATGTGAATAAAAATTACAAAACATATACTATAGAACGTCTTGAAAGAACCGTACGATTTACTCGAGCTAGAGAGGAAAAATTACGCAGGGAAAATAAGAAATTAATTAACATCATCAAAAAGAAAAATACAATTATTAGTAAATGGAAAATGCGATTTCACCGATTACAAAAGAAAAACAAAGACGATATTTTGGAAAATGTTAAGAGAATTGAACGCAAAGGACCCAGTGAAATTAGAAAAGAATTATTGTATGCTGCGGCTCTTAATCGACAATTAATGGAAAAAAGAAAAATCTTAACAAGTGAGAAGGAACGATCGATTTATGCGCAATGTATTTCGGGAAAAATTGTTAAAAAATATAAATGCATGCAAAACATGAAGCATTTAATTTCTATGACTACCCAAAAAAAATACAATAACTTGAAAACATTAGAATTCGAAAAATCGCGTAAAAGAAAAATTTCTATTAAAAATGAAATGTTACAAAAGGTTCAAACGTTTTTAGAAGAAGATGAAAACTCGGCGATTGCTCCTGGAGTTAAAGATACAATTACAAAAGGCGAAATGACTAAAAGGAAGAGATTTTTATTGGATACGATGGATAATTTGTGGGAAAAATTTAACTCACAGGGATCATTTAAAATCTCGAGAGGATCATTTTACAATGCAAAACCTTTTTGGATTGTAAATCGAAAAGTTACCGGCCGTGACACTTGTTTATGTAAAGTTCATGCCAACATGAATTTTTTACTCCAAAGATTGCAAGCTTCAAATCTACTCTCCAGCTCATCATCGCGGTTATTTATAAAATCAATTGTCTGTGATGTTGAAGATAAAAATTGTCATTATGGAGAATGCGAGAAATGTGAAGTCAAAAGTATAGCAAGTGATAAAAATTCCGATCCAACTTGGTACTTCAAATGGCAAACCAAAGGTGTTAGTAGATTAGGAGCAAAGGGCCTCAATTACAATGTAAAAATAACATCTAAAGAGAAGATCACTTGTAACGTCAACGAATTAGTAAACGAAACTAACGCATCGATTCCTGAATACTTAAAACATGTATATATCACAAATCATCAGTTTAGAGCGACTG